AACGAAAACTACAGTTAAAAATTTTTTTTTAGTCCAGTCAGTGTGAATCCATTCACAGGAATCACCTGAGAAAAATGAATAAATGGGTCTAATTTTGTGCCTAAGTTTCTAAAGCCAAAATCCAGACCATGGGCCCAGGTTGGCTGAATGAGGCGATGTGACCCGTCTTGCAAAGCTAAGAACAAGAGAACGACTGCCAGCTGGCAATGGCAGCAAATGTTCTTACTCAGATTAACACAGCTCACATTGAGAAGTGCTGTTGCCACGCTCCAGGCTGGGGCCAGGCGCCATGACTATGCTGTATTCTCTCCATGGTTGCCTGATCTCATGTTCCCATCCTAGACCATATGCATTTGATAAAGAGCCATCTGTGAACCGTTCAAAGGATGGGGACAGCCTTGGCAAGGATCATCCTTTGTCTCAGGATGGACCTAGCATGCAAATGAGGCAGGCCCAGCTCACTCTTAAAGAGCTCAGTACACAGGACAACACAACATGTGTGTGAACAATGTAGGGAAGAGGTAAGGGGATTGCTGCAAGTATTTTGCCTAGAGTTTCTTCTAGACAGAGGTCAGATGTCATGGCCAAGTTCATCCAAGACTCTCCAACCTACACTCATGCCTCTGACCTGTCTGTGTCAGTTTGGAAAAGAGAGTCTCCTAGGACCTTTCTCAATTTTTATATAAGCAACAAGTCACTGTGTTTCTCTTTAGTATGTCACATCCCTAAGGTATCACTTAGGGAAATGATCACTAAACAGTATTGAAGTTGTGACTTGTCATCACCAAACTGAGTTGGTTTTCGAGATGCTCATTTGCTCTTGAAAAGGGAAATTTATTTTCTTGAACCTTGTGCTGTCTTGGCTGGGCCAAGCCAATCACTCTGGATAACAACATACTCCATTTTCTGCCTTTTCTGGTAGCTTATAGCATGTGGGCAAAAATGCTTGTTGCAAACCCTAAACCCCAAAGCAAGATTCCTGGCAGGATAAGAACACATCAAGTGTATTTAAAAATGTGTATTCTTGATAGGAAAAATGATTTCTCCCTCCAAATGATGGATAGTAGAGAAATGAGTGTGGAGACTCATTTAGCAAGTATATAGCACTGGCAAAATGAGGAATGTTTACATTGTGTGCAGACAGGAGAAAATTTGGTGCCATGGCCTGTCCCAGCCACTTTTGCTGCAGTCTAATATCTCACTGTGACAGGCTTATCAAATGAAAATAGTACCATGGTGCTCCAAAAATCTGCAGAGGCAAACCTCTTTTCTGGTCCAGTGGATAGAGAGAACAAGGGGCACGGTGCAATCTCCTGTGGTAGCTGGCTTCCCTGGAGGGCTGCCTGTTGGTCTTGGTCTGCCTCCAGTCTTGCTCATAGTCTTCAGACAATGGATGGACGGGAGACCACGCATGGTAGATTAAGGGGAAGTGGCAGGGGTCTGAGATAGAGTCCCGTAAGTTCTGCCTTTTAGCACTGGTTCCACCTAGTACCAATTCTATGCCATTCACACCAACCTACCCTATAGGGCATTCACAAAGGGTCTTGGTCAGCCCTCCACATGCCTCGACACCCCTTTTCCTGTGTCTGCAATTCCTCCTTGCTTGAATGATCTCTCTTCTTTCTGTTTATGTTAGTGGTGCCTCCCCTACCTCCCCCCAAAAAAATCCCTATCCTCAGTGATTGCTTTCTTTCATGAATTCCCACCGCTTGCTGTGCAGATCAGACCAACAGCCTCGAATTTGCCATTACAGTGTCAACAGGCAGCATATCTAGAGTGCTTTCTGTATTTTAGGTCCCACGCTGGGTGCTAAAACTATAAAGATAGGAAGCACTTGGTGTTCTCATCAGAGTGACAACAATGCATATGGCTAGACAAGTTGGACTCCATAGTTGAGTGAAAATACTGACAACGTTAAATTCAAACCTGGCAGTTCTCCATGCATAGCCATGTTACGGAGAAAGTTCTACCCAGGAGTTAGTCTGTTTCTCATAGGGTCTGAGCACCTTAGAGAATAAAAGTAAGATGCCCAAAGTTCATTCACTCTCTGCTTCAGGCTGTCAGAAGCACCAAGAGAAACAGAAGCCTAATCTGCCATTTTGAGAGTCTGACACAGTCATGAAATCAACCCAGAGCACTTTCTGGGTCAAGGCTAGTGGTGCCCAGGAAACCATCAAGTGTAAAGCTTATCAAGTTCATACTTAAAATAGAAGTTGAGTAATATGGTGTGCCTTTGCTTAAGGCTATACTTGAACCTTGGAAAACACTGTGTTGTATACTGCAATTCTAAGTGTCTGATGTATCAGTATTTAAGTTATACTTGGACATATGTGCTATATCTCTACCTCAAACTGCCTTTAAACTTTACATGTGCATATGCTAATCAATGGGTCTCTTTAGCCACTCTGGTCTTCATTTCAACATTTTCCTACTTATGGGCCAGGGCAGACATGTTGCCAGTCCATTCCCCACTTCTTCCCTAGAGGAACTGTGATTTCACTTTAGACTTTTCCTTCCTCCAGATTGTTACCTGCTTCACTAGGCCAATCATGATGATTCCAGTTTCTTGCCATTGACTGGTTTAGAAAGATATCAGAGGGCTTGCTCTTGTGTGCACTCTTCCCAACATGTGAGGATAAAGCAAGAAGGTGGTTGTCTGCAAGCCAGGAAGAAGGCCCTCGTCAGGAAGTAAACTGGTGGGCACCTTGGACTTCCTAGCGTCTACCATCATGAGAAATAAATGTTTGCTGTTCAAACCACCTACTCTATGGTACATTGTTATAGCAGCTTGAGGACTAAGACATCATTACTTAGTTTTAAATTGCTTATCCAGCAATTCTAAGAAACATCCACTGATATGCACTGCTGATAACTGTACTAATACCTTCTTAATGTTAGGACTTCATGGAAATAATTACTATACAAACCCAAACTGAGTCTACAGACTTGAGTACAAACTTGAGTCATGGTTCAAGGTTCAAACAGATATAAAGGAATAAACAATCAGAAAGCCAGAAAAAAGACCAATATTTTTCTCAGTTCCAGAGATGATTTTTCTAGACTACCATTATTAGCAGGTCCCTAGCAGGAAGGGGACTGGCCTGTCATTTATTTCCTTAGCCTTTTACAGTCAAGCTGGAAGAGACAGGACCTCTGATCAGAATTTTTTTGAGAATTTAGGAGCCAGGGTGAGTTACACACGGTGCATGTCCAGTGTCTACTTTCCCAGCTCCCAAATTGATATGCCAAATTGTATATGAGTAAGATTTTATTAGGGGACAGGGTTCATCACTTCATTAGATTCTCAAAAGAGTCTACAACCCACTTCCTCGCAAAAGGATGAGACTACTACAGAGGATGGTCAGCATGCTTTGAAAGGCAAAGCGCTGTGTGAGTACAGTATCATAGCCTTAGTGGTCAGAGAATCAGTCCTTTACCTGTTTCTATAGATGGAAGCCCTACGGTATATTATAGTGGATAAAATTCTCCTGCAAGTGATGGCAAGAATCTGCAGGAGCTGCCACCTAAGTCCACAGTAGACTCCAAAAGCTGCCCAGTTCAATGCTGGTATGGAAAGACCATTTGCTTCCCAGACAGTGAGGCAAAGCCAACACAGGGCAGTTGTTTCTAGCATTCCAGGAAGAGAAAGGATGTCACATATACCATATGTTGCCAGAACTTTCTCCAGTCACAATTGCCTCTAGTCAGTCTCTCTGTCTCTCTCTCTCTCTTTCTCTCTCTTTCTGTGATGTTGGTGAGGATTCTGTTTGCTAGAAAGCAGTCCCTTCCTTCAAGATAATAAGATGGGGAAATTCATTTCCTACCAATTATAGGAATTAGTTGGGCCAAATTGACCTGAGTTTATGTCACATAAGCATTAGAAAGCCCAACTGCAAGAAGGAATTGCAATTAAAAATTAGCTTTGGAGTAGACATAAGCAAAACAAAATGTAACAATAAGAAACAACATTGATGGTCTTTCAAGTCCATCAGAACTCCATTTCCTGGGTTGTGAATCTAAGGCATCTGAGAAGAAATGAGGGATCAAAGGCTAAATTTTCATTTTCCTTACATTTTTTTCCTTATGATTTCTTTTAGAGATGTCACAGTGGTTTGTAACCCCTCCCCCTCAAAAAAAAATCTCCCAGCAAGATGGCACCTGAGAAGATTCTCAATGTTATTAGTTATTAGGGAAATGATCATCAAAATCCAAATAGATACCAGTTCCCACCCACGAGGATGGTGAATATCAAAACAAAACAGCAACAATTAAAAAACATCAAGAAGGAAGACTTAAGTGTTGGCATGGTTGTGGAGAAATTGGAACCCTCTACATTATAAAAATGGTGCTGTTGCTATAAAAATCTGTTGGTGGGTCCTCAAAAGTTAGACACAGAATTATAAAGTGATCCAGCAACTCCACTTCTAGATCCCGACACCCAAAAGAATGGAATGCAGGGATTGGAACAGGGATTTGTACATCCGAGGTCATAGAAACGTTACTCACAATGGCCATAAGGTGGAAGTAAGTTCAATGTCCATTAGTGGATGAATGGATAAAAAAGGGTAGTATAAACACAATGGAATATTCTTCTGAAAAAGGAAAGAAATTCTGACCTAAGCTACATCATGGGTAAACCTCCAGGATGTTATGCTAAGTAAAATACATCAGTCACAAAAGGACAAACACTTTACGCCTCCACTTCTACGAGGTCCCTAGAGAAGTGAGACTCATAGATGCGGAAGGGAGACTAGAGGTTCCCAGGGGCTGAGGGAAGACTGTATGGAGAATTACTGTTTAGTAGGTACAGAGTCTCAGTTCAGGATGAGGAAAAGGTGTTGAAAGAGGAAAATGGTGATGAATGTGCAGCACTGACAATATATTTAACGCCACTGAACGGTCCCCTTAAACATGGCCGAAAGGAGAGTGTGTGTTAAGTATATTGTGATACAGTAAAAAGGGGCAAGGGAAGAGAAGCCAAGGTGGAAAGCAGTACTCACAAGATATAGGCAATTACACCGATGGACCAGCAGTCTACGGCTTTGCTGTAGGGTTTCTGGGCAAGGACTTCAGGAGCTGTGGAATGACAAAGAAGAGACACAGGCCATTTAAATGTCTGAGACTGAAGACATTTTTAGGGGGTCTGTATTTGTTTTTCCCTGTTTGCTATTTGAACTGAACCATCTGCGAGTCTAAATTTAAGCAGTGGGTATAGTTCAGTGGGAGAACACATTCATAGCCCTAGGTTCAAGTTCAATGCCCAGCACCAAAGATAAATAAAACAATAATGATATATGATCCATTTCATTTGCTGGCTTTTCTAACACACACTCTCTCTCTCTGTTTGAATATAATCCATCAACCAATTCTTAATAGGTGGCGATTTTGTGGCAGTGCAGGGCTTTGTGAGGTGGGAGACATCACCCTTTCTCCCTGATGGCCATCACAGAGTTTACAGAGCAGCAAAGCTAAAACTAAAATCTGACCTCCAGAGTCCTGCTTTAAAGGCTTCTCTTAGTTCATTCCCTGAGGTTTGGGATGAGTTCTCCGTCAGCATTCTCATTTCATTTGTTCATCTGTGAAGCAGGAAAAATGCTACCACACCTCACTTTGCTGGTCCTAAACCAGTATTCCATCCACAGTCATCCTTCCCGTGGCTTTGGGCTCATTTTGCACCATTCCTGTCCTCCCAGTGCTTAGCTTTGTGGCCACAGCCCCTTCTCGGATATCTAGCCAGTGTCTGGTGACCTGCAGTGTCTGGCGCACTTGGCACTCAATGTGTTATTTGTGCAGAGTAAACACATATAAGACAGTGAATCTTATTGACAAGTAAAATCCCCCCATCCCCAACACATCGACTTGAGATGTTTAACATACACTTTCCAGAACAATTAAAGGGGCATAGGAAATAAAAACAACACAGCTGCTGAGACCCTTGTTTTGCACTGAACTGTGTGCTCTGGGGATTTTGGGGGTGTTAGCTCAATTACCCAGCATCCTTGGGGAGAAGTGTTCTTGTCATGACCATCATTATTCCCAAATTTCAGGTTAGGACACATGGGCACTGAGAGGTCAAGTAGCTTGGTTAGAGTGACCAAAAAGTGGACTATTCATCAATTTTTTTTCAAAGGAGACCTAACTATTGAGTGCCTGCCATCAGTTGAAGCTTTTGCTGCTCACTCACAAATGTGTCCTACTCTAATCCTTTCAACAACTCTGACAGTGATCGTGACCCTCACCTGAGAGATAAGCAAGCCCAGCCTCAAAGAAGCAAGGTAATCTCTTCCATATCACACAGCCAGACACGGAACAGCTGGGATTCAAGTGTGACACTTGTCCTGGCTCTTTCTACCTGACCATAGCATTTGTTAAGGTGAGAGGCTATTTTTTGGTCTGTAAGAAAAGTCCTTTTTGCAGAAAAACTAACAGAAAATCTTGTCTTTCATTCTATTGAAGATAAATATCTTTCTGAGCAAGAAAAAGAAGGTATATAAACAATTGTTGAATATCTCTGCTCACAAGAATGAGGACTACAATTCATAAATCATCCACAAATCCAATTTCAGTTTTCAGACCTAGAACCCTTTGAACCTACTAATTTCTTTGCTTTCTTCTTCATTATTATTATTTTTGACTATACTGGGGATTGAACTCATGGCCTTTTGCTTTTGAGGGCCAAGCATGCTATCATTTGAGCCACATCTGCACTCTCATTGCTTTTAGTTTCTTTTTCAGATAGGGTTTCTCTATTTTACCTGGGCCAACTTCACACTGCAATTCTTCTGGGATGACAGGCATACACCATCATACCAGGTTTAGTTTTTTGAGATAGGGTCTTGCTAATTTTTGCCCAGACTGTCCTCAAACCACAATCCTCCTATTTCTGCCTCCCAAGTGGCTGGGATTACAGGTGTGTACCACCACACCCGAACCCCCAGATTTAGTTTTTTGAGATAGGGTCTTGCTAATTTTTGCCCAGACTGGCCTCAAACCACAATCCTCCTATTTCTGCCTCCCAAGTGGCTGGGATTACAGGTGTGTACCACCACACCCAAACCCCCAGATTTCTCTTAACAAGAACAAAAGAAATATATTTGCACATCCTTTCTTTGCTGTATGCTTCCTCAATGTAGTAGCAAAAGGGGAGACAGAACTACAATGCAAGGGAAGTCACCAAGTAGAGAATTAACTGTTGAATCCATGGAAGCTGGTTACATTGATGCTTCCTTTCCCCCTAACTGCTAAAAGCATATTTCTCAGACTCTCTTATTGTGGGAACCAATGAGGGGGAGCCATTTGCCACAGAAAATGTCTTTCTGATTTAGATGGTGTGCTCTCTCCCCAGGCTGGCATACTGGTCAGATGGCATGCAAAGTGGACTGTGTGTGCAGGGAGCCTCCAGATTCATCTTCAAGGCCTGATGAAAGGTTTATCAGAAAAAAGACAGGGTGCATAGAAACTTGCTGGCCAAATCCCTGCCCTCAGAGTTAACATGGATGTTAGGACCACAGAACAAGCTGGTGGGTACAGGCCCTGGCCCATCCAGGGCTCCACGGGGCTCTTTAGTGGGATGGCCAGCCAGCCTGGTCCAACCACTCTGCTGAACCAGGTGCCAAATGGCACAGAAGCACAGAGGGTAAACACAAGGCTGAAAGAACAAACTCATGTCACACACAGACAAACAGGGAAGGGACAAAGAGAAAGAAGCTCTCAGCACCTCTGAGCTCTCTACGGTGTACAAGCAAAGACTGAGTGAAGCCCCGGCCATGATGCCCTGAGAGGGAATACGAGACCCCAGTCCCCCACAAAGCAGGCATCTCTCTGAGCTCAGGCTGTGCTGTGTTTGGTCCCTTTCTCTCCACCCCATGGTTCCCCAGCACCACAGAGAGTGGGAGGGAAAGTCCTCAACAGAACTGTACCCTTCTCTCGCTCCTTCTTATATGTTAGGAGCAAGAACTTACTGGCACCATCCACACACCCAGGGACAATCACACCCCAACATTTCACTTTCAGTGGCAAATCCACCAACATGGTGGACATTGTATGTGGCCCTGCAAGACAAGAAAAGCAAGTGGCTGGAGAATGATGGAGGGGGTGAGTTCAACTACGACATTTTGTAAGAACTTTTGTAGATATCACAATGTACCCCCAGTACAACTATAATATGATAATAAAAAAACCAGAATTACAAAGAAAAAAGAAGTGGCTGGCTTTCTTGCAGGTTGGAACCTGGATGTTACTTGACACGTTTAGATCCTAGAAATCACAGACTAACACTTTTTAAATTGTAAGTTTGCTTCAATGGCAAAGTTTATACAGTTAAATATATGGTTTAAAAAGATGTCTGCCTTAGATCAGTAGCAGGGGAAGATTCCAAATGATCAATAAATACACATCAAAACAGCAATACTGTGAATGGGAATTTATATGTCTGTGCTGAACTTTTCTTGTTCTTTTTGGTGTTGTGTCTTACCTGGGTTAAACTGACAAAAAAGTACAAAAAAAAAAAAGTAAAACCAGCAAAGCATTTTCCTTCTGATGAGGTTCTTAGTTGCATTTGGAAACAAATGCAGAGGGTGAAATATAACAATGATAAAAGACAAAGCAAACTACTTTGGAATGGCACCCCCATCGACTCCATATATTTTAAAGATTGTACAATGGCCTATATAACTACAGCCTAAATATTAATTTCACTTGTAAAGTGATGTGGGAACCAGGGTTTGTTTGGAAAAACCCTACCTAGATCACTTCCAACAGACTTTTCTTCATCTCACAGACATTTTTGAAAGAAAAAAATATTTCTCAGGCAACATTTAAAACCCTCTTGGCAATTTCACACGAAGACTAAATTATGGAGAAGTCCCAAGACCTGCAGGGATATTTTCTCTCTTGCATCCTATTGAATTCACCTGGCCTTTTGGTGCCCACTGCCTCCCACTTTCTTCAATCTTTTCAGCTGCAGTGTAGAAGACAGCACTAGGGAAGTCACTTGTCACTCTCATCACGTTAGAGACCACTAACACTGAGAACCAGCCGAGCCCCTTAGTATTATGCTATGGGTCTTATGTCACCTGGCAAGAACTCTGCTGTAATTCTAAAAAACAAAATCACAGCATCCAATTTACACTTGCAGAAGATAAAGGAATTACCAGGCCGAGGTGCAGAGCACCATCCATGGTACAAAGCTCTCTGATCCATGCCACCACTGTTGTATCACCCCACCAACACTGCCTGGACATGCTGGAGACTTTTCTCACCAAGGAGAAACAATGCCCTCTTTTAGCTGTCCACAGCAGCCTTCACGCATGCTAAGAGGCCCTGGTAGTGACTCTCCTCACCCCACGCCTTCTAAAAGTGTGTGTGTGGGGGGGGACTTTTAATCAAAAAAACTTAAGTGGAGCTCTTCACAAGAAGAGCAGTTATTAAAAGACACCTGGCTTGTTAGAGAGGCAACCAGCCACAAGGCACAAAGGGAAAGGGCCTATCCTCCTGGTACAGCCATGGCGGAAGAGATGTCCACTCTAGTGCAGAAGACCACAGATTCCTCCTTATGTGAATGACAAGACAAAGCCCCTGGTGGCCACCAGTGGCTGTGAGAGACCCACCCAGTTGGAGGTGCTGAAAGAGACATATGCAAGGTAGACAGTAGATCTAACCTTCTGACTGTCACTTAGGCTTGGTCAAGGCTAGCTTATGGGGCTGGGGTGGGGCAGCTCTAACCAGGTGACATAGAGAGGATGACTTTTGAGTTCCCTAGTTCACTCACCAAAATCTCCCAATACACTAGTCTCCTGTGATTCCCATTGGGTCACACTCTTCCCTTTCCATCTGTAACAATCACTGGCAAATCCAGACTCACACTGGTGGAAACAGGGAGATGGCTCTAGTCTTGTATGTTTAGGGCTAAATGTGTCGTGGTTCTTTACCACACATACCATCGTTTCTCAGGGATGATGCTTTCCAGATTCCACACAACTGAGTTGCAAAGAAACAGCTGCTTCAAGTATTTTTGGTGAGTAGGTACAGGAAAAAAAAATAAGAAAGAAAGAGGGACAAATAGATTTTGGGATGCC